GAAGTTGTGGATGCCCATGGAAGCCTGCATCGTCGGAATTCTGCAAGTGCTACAAGGAGTATAAATGCTCTGTTTTCAATAGCTATACAGTCCTACAATCTTGTGGTGATTTACAAAGGGTTTGTTTAAACCTGTCACTACCCTTATCAATAAATCCCTGGTGTCAGGATACATACCCAAACTTTGGAAGACTGCAAAAGTTCCTATCCGTAAAAGTGGTGACAATAGTTTGGTATCTAACTATCGCCCGATATCATTGTTCCCTGTATTGTCAAAAATTTTGGAAAAATGCATCCACACGCAACTATGTGAATATTATCAACAATGAAATTATCTGACCCTTGATCATTCAGGCTTTCGTCCAAATCACTCAACTTCAACTGCCCTCTTAAAAGTTTGCAATGACATCAAAATTGTCATAGAACAAGGAGACTTAACTGGAGCTGTTTTCCTTGACCATGACATTCTTTTGCAAAAACTTAAAAACTCCTGCATTGGTGATTGTCCACTAACTGGTTTCAATCGTATTGTTTCAGACCGATTGCAATATGTGGCCATTTCTGATAGCGCTTCCCTCCCTCTTCCAGTCACGTGTGGTGTTCGCCAAAGCTCCATACTCGGCCCCCTGCTATTCACATTATTTATAAATGATCTGCCTAACGTCTGAAAATTCTCAACTGTACACATGTATGCAGACGACACTGTAATCTTTGCTAGTAAACCCAAGCTACCGCAGCTTGAGGCTGTGCTCCAAAGCCAATTCACGGAGGTAGAAAAGTGGATAGCTGATAACAAACTCTTCCTAATCACTGACAAAACCATTACAATGATCTTCGAAACTGTTTACATAAACTATAAAATCAACAATTGTGTATCAGAACAAATTCAAATAGCACACTGACAGCAGTTTGCTCTTTTAAATATCTAGGTATGTCCCTAGACCCCAATCTATCTTTTGGCCTTCACATTGAAAAAATCTATACAAAACTTTACCCAAAATTAGGTGCCCTGTACAGAAACAAATCCTGATTAAGCCCTACAGTAAGGAAACAGATAGTGCAACAAATGCTAATGCCGGTCATTGATTATGGGGATCTAGTGTATGCACTCGCACCGAAAACCCACCTTAATAAACGTAATATGTTATATAATTAATTCTGCTGCTTTGTACTAGAATGTAGAGCAGAATTCTCTCCCTGGCTATTCCCACCTCCTACAACCGCTGATCCAGTACTATTAATATATAATATTTAGCATAACGCAATACAAAAATAAAGTGGCTCGATCCTCCTTTTCCTACAGAGCACCACAATTATGGAATAACCTCAGGGACACAGTCAAATCTTCATTCAATATAAAATCTTTTAAGAGATCTATGGCAATATACCTCAGCACATTATGCACCTGGCATGGTTGAATATATTTATTACCTGTTATGTATTGTAACCGCTGGGCATGTGCATGGGGAAGATTTGCGGTTCGGCATTCCAAAATTCGTGATTTTCACAATTCGGCACTTCAGCAATTAGGCACTTCAACACTTCGGAACTTCGGCAACTTCGGAACTTCGGCACTTCAGCACTTCGGAACTTCGGAACTTCAGCACTTTGGAAATTTGGCAACTTCGGCACTTCGGCACTTCCACACTTCGGAACTTTGGAATTTCGAAACTTCAGCATTTCGGAGCGGTGGGTGGGGGCCATAAATTATAATAAGGGGGGGACCTAATGTCCTCCACCTGGCCCCCACACCTGAGTGGTGGGTGGGGGCCCGAAATACTAATAGGGGGGGACCTAACGTCCTCCCCCCTGGCCCCCACTCCTGAGCGGTGGGTGGGGGCACTAAATACTAATAGGGGGGGACCTGATGTCCTTCCCCCTGGCCCCCACCCCTGAGTGGCGGGTGGGGGCCCTAAAATAAAATGTCCCCCCAGGTGACTAGGGGTCCCTAAACCCCTAGTCACCCTCTCCCCCCAAAAAAATTTTCCCCCTACCAACCCCCCTCACCCTAAAAATAATGAGGGGGAGACCTTTAACTAAGTACCTGTAAAAAAAATGAAAACTTACCATTCAATGTTTTCTTTCTTCTAAAATCTTCTTTTTTCAGCCCCAAAAAAGGCCAAATAAAAAAACCATAATAACCAACGCAATTAAAAAACAAAAACAAAAAAAAAGAGCGCAAAAAAAACCCATCTTTACCCGGCGAGGGCTCCGTGCAGACTGAGCTCTGCAGGGCGGGGGAAGGCTTATTAAAAATAATACCTTTTTAAACTTTATTAATTTTAGGACCTCCCTTAATTTGGCAAAAATACAAGTTCGTAACTAAAGGGTGTATACATCATAGAGATTTTCCTGTCTTAGTTCAAGATGGCATCTTACAGTCTGAACATCTTTATCTACTTAGGGTTACCACAGTATATTGTGTACGGAAAGAGTCGTAGCATAGCCTTGAAGCTTGTTTATGCAATATTGTTATTGTAATTCGTCTGGGACAAAATGGCGTAAACATATTATGCACTGAAGGTAGGTAAGAGGTGATTGCTTAAAGAAACAGTTATGAAAAACAATATGTTCCATTTCTAACACCTTGTCAGTTTGCAATAGTACACAGTTTAAGAAATACATATTTCATTCTAAAACTTGTAATATTTGCATTTGCCCATAACACCCTCTCCATTAAACTGTGTGCATTGTAGAGCATTTCTTCCTTAAATTAGTAAAACAAAGTTCTCCAACAATCTTTAGGTTTTTATGCTCCCAACATCTTTGATCAACAGTAAAACATCAGTAGTGTGATCTTTGCCTGTAAAGGTGGTTGATTAAAATAAGCAAAGCTTTTGTCTGGGAAAGAATTGAAAAGAACACCAGGTTCCAGAGTAAGATATTCTTGGATGGATCTGGATACGAATTGTAATCCGAAGTTTAAAGTAGTAATTGTATTTGTAATCCAAAGTCTTAAAGGCCTGTAGAAGTTTATATTCCTTAGATACATTGCTGGAGGTTGTGTTTGTAGAATACCCAGGTATTTGTTGTAGAGTATAGGTTGTAGAGTCCAGCTTTACAAATATTTGGCTAGAATTGGTTGCAGATATTGAATCAGCATCATCTGTTGGTATTTGCCTTTGTCTTTTGTCTTTGCTTTTTTATTTTGTTTTTTCCATGAAACATTTTTACCCCATGATGTGTATAGATTGCATACTCTCCGATATTCTTTTACGGAACAAATTAATTGACAGCATTTCCAAGACATTGTCTTAAGTGACATGGATCCCGTTATAGTAAATGTTATGTTGATACAGCAATCGAAGTGGATTCTAAAGAACGCCTCTTTTTTGCGGTAATGGAATCTTTGTAAAACCTCTACATCTCAATTACATATAACGACATCAGGTGCTGTTGTACTAAAAATGTTAACAGGTAATATCTGTGGAAAAATCTTTACATTTGTTATACTTTGTATAATAATGATAGATGCAATAGTAACATAGTTAATCTTTCTAGTGATTTAGATATATAAGGATAATTTGTAAAAGCAAAGTATTTACCGCCTTTGTTCACAATGATATGTAAAATTACATTCTCTTTAAATGTTAAAAATACTCTTTTATACTCTCAATATATTTAGAATAGTTGATAATTGGAAACATGGCATTATTCATCTTTCTTTGTCCTGTTAGGTAGAAGACAACTTATTTCCTAAGTTGCAATAAGTAAATATAATAACTACAGTTATTAGTGGCTTAAAATACCAGAAACACCCAAAAATTGTCTTAATTTTTTTTTTAACCAAGATCTGACAGCCACTGTGGAAAGTCACAATCGTGAGATTGGATGATATCGTATTTGTTTAAGTATGTTTTCCAGCGGCTGCTGGGTGTAGCTTAAGATGATTTGGATTTTTTATTATTTTTAAAAGTGAGTTAAGAAAGCACTCAGATACAATATTGAAGGCATTTATATTTTAGCTCTACCTTTGTATAAGTGGTTTTAACACTTCCATAACAATAGATATCAGAATCTGTTGTAACTATAACTGGTTGAAGTGGGGGTATGTTACAATCAGAATATGAATTAATAATCATATGCATGATGTATTGATTAAACAGTCAATAGATGTGGCAGGATCATTACCACAAGGTATATGTACCTTTAAACATCACAAACCAAATTTAATTTTCTTGGTATTTGAAAAACTGATAAAATATTTGATTACGTGTATTTTAATATATATACATAGAGTGGTATGAATGTTGAATTTATATCTCGGACATCTTTTCACTAGTTTGCAATAGGTGACCTAAATGATCAATTTCCAAAATCATCATGTATATAGCCTGGATGGGTTAATCCATAATACTCTTTTACCTTCCACTGACTGACCTTAGCTCTGGCAGACTGAACATGTTTATCATTGTAAGTAAAGGTTTGTGATAAGTGAAGTAAAGTTTCTGCCTGTTTTTCAGTTAAATATTAACTGTTGAAGTACTTCATTTATATTAATTAGATTATATTAATTATACCACTCTGCAAACTTAAACGAATATCTAGTAGTTTCTGATTTAATAAACATTTTCTTCTAAAGTTTAAACATTATTCATTATTGCAGTTGTTATTGTAATCATATGATCTTTAACTATCATGATTCAATTATTCATCTGGGTAATTAGCTGTTATGCTCTTATACTTTTTGTCTAATATATTTGTTTGTAGACCAGACTGCAGCTGCATATGGCATTTTAGCAATACTTTTCAATTGCGTTTCAGATATTCACAAAGTCTATCCACCTTTGTAATTAACACTTTATGTGTTTATTTTATACCATTAATTATAGTATCTGTATTATATTACACATTGTCACTGAAAAAAATAGCATGATTGCTTTAGTAATTATAATTTTCCTGTCCATGCACCTCATTCCTGGAAGTCCAGAATATAGCAAGAATACTTCAGTAGATCACATCTGCTACAGAACCATTACTGATTCCTTGTTGTATCAATGTCTCTGTGTTTATGTTTACAGGAGTTCCTTGCTTTGCAGGTATGTACATAATATGTAGAGTTTAAGAAAAGCTGCAAATCGTGCTTTAGTACAAGTGTCCCATGATGTCAGGTTTCTGAAAGATTTTGCTGGCCTTTTATATTCCATTCTCTTGGCAGGGCATCTGCTCTTAGTAGGCCGGTCTTGTTATTATTTATTAATTGCATCAAGGTTTCTTTCGTTAATTGATGTGTTTCTTCCGAATTCAAATTCATATGCCACCAAATGTCATTGTAAAGTTCATTGTTACAGAATATTGTTCCAGGATGGTTTTTCACTCCAGTAGGAAATCTATATTCCTCTTCTTCTGCTTCTTCCTATTTACCACTTTTTTGTAGGCAACAATCTGTGTCTTGTACTGTGAGGTGCTTTGATAGTCAATCAGGTTTTCTCAGAACCATGTTCCATCTTGAGAAACAGCTGGGTGTTGACAGTTATCAGCCTTTATTTCTTTTTCCGGTCATCTTCTGTCTGGAAACATAATAGCAATGTCCAGAATTAGCATAGCACTTCTTTTTCAGCATAAGAAGGCTGTTTGCGGTAGTCATTCAATGATAAACTATATGGCAAAGTCTTTTCTTGCGTCACCTTCATAGGTGCATCCAAAGTCTTTCACAAGCATCTGTCCCATCTTTTTCTGATTTCAGCATGCTTTGCCATCATTGTTGAATCCATTATTAGGATTTGTAACAGTCCAATCACATCATTCTCATGTATAATCAGTTTTTGGAATGATCTCAATAGGTTCCTTGTGAAATACCAGTGTAGGTCACATTAGCAATCATTTCAGTGTGAGCTGTGTCTCTCCTTTCGACATAGTTCTTGGAGGTAGTCCTCACGATCAAAGAACTTGTATTATGTGCAGTCCAATTCAGTTCAGGTGCTTCCTGCTTGTTAACATAATCCCAATGCAGTTTTAAAACGACAGCTAGGGTTGATGTTATGATAATGCTGCAGATGGTAAGATGGAGACACCATAACCAATTTTATAGCATCCTTTTGTTTGCATTCTTTCTTACTGTAAAAGATAATTCAGGTACAGTCTGTTTTCTCCAGAGTCTTTCTGATAATGATGTTAGTGTTTCATTTTTCATATATTCCATGTTAACTGTGAATGTATCATGTCTGTCTGTTCATCCTTCTTCACATTTGCAGGTTCAGATGTCAGATGGCTATGATTCTAGTGGCTGTGTTCTGGTGGCATTTTTGTCGTCCTCTGTTTGTTTTATCTTGCCATCTTTAACAGCATCCATTGTGTCAGTCAGTGGTTCTGTGAACATCCTGTTAGTATTTAGCAGGTTGTAAAATATCAAAACTTACTGTTCTATGTTGGCTGATTGTTCTCTGTAGTAAAAGTCACCCTCTCCAGGACAGGCTGGCCAACAGTAAGAAAAATTGGTGGTGCATGGCGAGGTGGGCTGGAGAAAAAAAATCTCTATATTTCTCTAATAGAACCAATGGTTCTAAGCTCTCCCTGGTGCAGAAATATGATTGCCAGTGAAAAATGTGTAACATTTCATATGGTGTCTCACTATTTGTATCATCAGGTATGTTGTGAATGCTCATCTGTACCATAGGAATAAATAGATCCCACTGTGTGGGGTAAGCAACTAGTAACTTGGTTAATAATCATTTAACCTCAGCATTTTCCCAGACCACAACCCCACTACTTTGGGGGTGGTTGGCGCACTGAAATCCCAAAGTAACCTAAATGTGGTTGTCCAGTTTTGGTTTTCCTTTGCAGTAACTGCAGAACCACCATCCAAGTGGATGGTCCTGGGAATACCAAATGCATACTAAGGAAGTGAGACTAGCAAACGTGGTATCAGAGGTTGCATTTCGCACAGGATATATCCAAGTAAACCTGGTACATGCATCAACAAATACAAAAACATATTTATAACCATTAGATGTTGGCAAATTTCCAATATATAGTAATTCAAAAAGTATGTTAGATATTAATATTTCAATAAACAGTACATCAGTAATGTGGCAATAAGCAAATGTTTACGATTACTAAACATATGAATTACAGTATTTCCCATATTGTGCTGCTAAGATTCCTTTTCAGGAGTCAGAAGTACATTACCTCTATCAATATGAGCTTGTCCTAGCCATGAATAAGCTTTTAGGGCAAGTCTCTCTTTCCTTTACAGGAAGAACAACCAACATATTACGTTCAATGGTTATTATGTAATTAACCCATGTAAACGATAGGAGTATTTATGGGGATACCAGGTGGATTAGGTCTGGATATCCTTGCAAGCATAAACTCTGCATCATGACTGAGAGATAGGGTATGATTTTGAGATCAAGTGACCGCAGAAAAGCGTTGGTAGACACATTGCATCAAAGTGCCTGTTAATGACCAACTACATGAGGAGAGGGACCATGCTTTGTTATAAGCATGTCCATACACGTATTACAATGCCAGACTTTAAATTTGTTTCCGCAAAGCAATATGCAGTTGTGGATATAAACTCACAACGTATCGTAAGAAAACAGTTTTAACACCAAACTGAGACTCGAGATCAGTGAACAGTGGACCAAAATAGATAAATGAAATCCTTTCAATTAATATACTTTCAATATACTTTTTTTAAATTACTCTAGTTCCTGTATTAACAATAGTGATGTCGCGAACACAAATTTTCGGTTCGCGAACGGCGAACGCGAACTTCAGCAATTGTTTGTGAACCGGCGAACCGCGCGAACCGCCATAGACTTCAATGGGCAGGCGAATTTTAAAACACACAGGGACTCTTTCTATAGGGATGGAAAAGTTGTTTCAAGGGGACTAACACCTGGACTGTGGCATGCCGGAGGGGGATCCATGGCAAAACTCCCATGGAAAATTACACAGTTGATGCAGAGTCTGGTTTTAATCCATAAAGGGCAGAAATCACCTAACATTCCTAAGTCACACTGAATATGGATTGACACCTGACATATGACATATTGACACCTTGACATATGGATTGACACCTGTCCTCAGAGCCCCTGATGCACACGGACACAGAGCAGAATAGGGACTGGACCCCTACATAGGGTCACTTGGCAGATATGGATTGACACCTGTCCTAAGGATCCCTGATACACACTGACACAGAGCAGAATAGGGACTGTTCCCCCTACATCGGGTCACTTGGCAGATATAGATTGACACCTGTCCTAAGGTTCCCTGATACACACTGACACAGAGCAGAATAGGGACTGTTCCTCCTACATGGGGTCACTTGGCAGATATGGATTGACACCTGTCCTCAGAGCCCCTGATACACACTGACACAGATCAGAATAGGGACTGTTACCCTACATAGGGTCACTTGGCAGATATGGATTGACACCTGTCCTCAGAGACCATGATACACACTGACACAGAGCAGAATAGAGACTGTTCCCCCTACATACGGTCACTTGGCAGATATGGATTGACATCTGTCCTCAGAGACCATGATACATACTGACACAGAGCAGAATAGAGACTGTTCCCCCTACATAGGGTCACTTGGCAGATATGGATTGACACCTGCCCTCAAAGCCCCTGATACACACTGACACAGAGCAGAATAGAGACTGTTCCCCCTACATAGGGTCATATGGCAGATATGGATTGACACCTGTCCTCAGAGACCATGATACACACTGACACAGAGCAGAATAGGGACTGTTACCCCTACATAGGGTCACTTGGCAGATATGGCGTGGTCGTGGGAGGAGGAGGATGACTTTCACCTCTTCCCCTGTTAGATTCCCATTGTGCTGTGACATCACCCTTATACGCTGTGTAAAGCATACTTTTTAATTTATTTTGCAAATGCTGCATCCTTTCCGACTTGTAATTCGGTCACATTTCCACCACTGTCTGCTTATAGCGGGGGTCTAGTAGCGTGGACACCCAGCACAGGTCATTCTCCTTCAGCCTTTTTATACGAGAGTCCCTCAACAGGCACGACAGCATGAAAGACCCCATTTGCACAAGGTTGGATGCCGAGCTACTCATTTCCCATTCCTCCTCCTCACACAGAGCAGAATAGGGACTGTTCCCCCCTACACTTGGCAGATATGGATTGACACCTGTCCTAAGGGTCCCTGATACACACTGACACAGAACAGAATAGAGACTGTTCCCCCTACATAGGGTCACTTGGCAGATATGGATTGACACCTGTCCTCAGAGACCATGATACACACTGACACAGAGCAGAATAGAGACTGTTCCCCCTACATAGGGTCACTTGGCAGATATGGATTGACAGTCTCTATTCTGCACTGACACAGAGCAGAATAGAGACTGTTCCCCCTGCATAGGGTCACTTGGCAGATATGGATTGACACCTGTCCTACGGATCCCTGATACACACTGACACAGAGCAGAATAGGGACTGTTCCTCCTACATAGGGTCACTTGGCAGATATGGATTGACACCTGTCCTCAGGAACCATGATACACACTGACACAGAGCAGAATAGGGACTGTTCCCCCTACATCGGGTCACTTGGCAGATATGGATTGACACCTTGTTACAAACTACTATTTGTAACGGGCCCTTTAAATGGCAAATTTCCCTGCTTCCCTGGGTTGTGGAGAAGCCTATTTGCCAGCCTCCTCCCGCATGACTATGGCCCCTGGGAGATTGTGAAAATGTATGCACTTTTATTTGGTGTGTATGGCCTTTAAGACTATCAGTGGGCATATTGGGGCTTATGGACTCTTTATGTGACTGGTGCTGGCCCTTTAAACACCTTTTTTGGGACATCAGGAAGATTGGGACACTGCCCCTTTAAGACGGTGTCCCCTGTGTCCCCAGACCTGGTGCAAACCCTTTGTGCCTGCCTGGCTATTTCCCACTTGGTTCAGTAAATGGGGCTTACTGAACCAAGTACCACACAGGCAGACCACCCAGAAGTGGAAGTGTGCAGGCAATTTACCTCCCAGAAGCTGCGGTTAACCGCAGCTTAATTGACAATGCTGGGAGGTCTTTGTTCGTTTGCCGAACACGTGGCGGCGGCCATCTTTGATCATTCGACGAGGTCAGTGGTATGTGTAGCCAAATTCATGGAACTAAAATCGGCTACACATTTCCGCGAACACCGCTGAGCTCTACCTTCTCCCCTACTGGTTTTACAGCTGCAGAGACTAAGTCCCATTCGGCGATGGGACTTAGTCGTTTTTTCAGCCTGAAATAGACCGACCGCAAAGCCCCAATCTATGGAACTGTTTTGGGCAGGAAAATGTGCTTGTGGTCGGTCATAAAGGGACCTCCAGCTAACTTTTTAACCCCTGGATAGATTTGGCTGATTTTTGGTTATGTTTATGTTTTAAGTGTGCTGATTCCAAATATGTAATTATGAAGATGGGATGTGTAGTTTTAAAGTTACAGGGTATGGCTAAAAACTGTATTTTTACTGCCTGTGTTTAATTATGTTAATCTCTTCCCAAACGTCATTTCGTTCAAAGTGGAGAGAATGTTAAAAAAATATATTTTTGTTCGGAGTGTGAGAAATGCTTTTCAGCCGCTTCTAATCTTAAGCATCATTTGAGGAGCCATACAGGAGAAAAACCTTATTTGTGGTGTGTTTAGTATTGTTCTGATCAATTTAATACCTTCCGCGTCTCCTATCAGTGGACGTGTATATGGCAGCCATTTTAGGAACCGTACACCTGGGACCCGAGCAAGGTCACCTCGTTCAACAGGCTTGCAGCGTATCCTCCAGGAAGAAGAGCCTGAACCCTTACCGGCTGCACGTGTCTTACCTGTACATGGAAAGCTGCTCTGGTTCCTTGATGAGCCAGCTAACATGTCCCGTGGAGAAGCACTCTGTCCTGTAAAGCCTCACCAAAAAAAAGGAGTGGTGTGTTTAGTATTGTTCTGATCAGTTTAATACCTTCCGCGTCTCCTATCAGTGGACGTGTACACGGCCGTGATTTCTGTAACAAGGAGATGGAAGAAGATGTTTGGTCGGTCCTCTTACTGCAAATTTGGGGCACTGCGCGGTCAAGCTAATGTGACACCAGATAGGAGTGGTGTGTTTAGTACTATTTTTATCAGTTTAATACCTTCCGCGTCTCCTATCAGTGGTCGTGTACACAGCAGTAATTTCTGTAACAGGCAGATGGAAGAAGATGCTTGGTTGGTCCTCCTAACTGGAGACTGTGTTGCTGTACGGGTGGCAGGTGGAGCCATTTATAAAGTACACACTGCTTTGCAGACCAGATATCAGTGGTCAGATGGACCCTTGCCCCAACACTGTGTGCCAGACATGCCATTACTTCCTTTTGCACAGTCGAGTACAGGTTGGGGATTGCCTTTTGCGCAAAGAAATTTTGGCCGGGTACCTTCCACTGCGGTGTCCCAATAGCTACAATTTTTTTGAATGCCTCAGACTCCACCAGATTGTATGGTAAAAGCTGGTGGGCTAATAGTTCAGACAAGCCAGGTGTCAGACGCCGGGCAAGGGGGTGACTTTCTGACGCTTGCAGACAACTAACTGCTATTCAATCTATAACAGTGAAAAAAGTTTTGAAGCCACAGTGCAGCACCAGAGGGCCTAAAAATTAAGCATGTACACATGCCTGAAAAATTCGGTATTGTTGCAGCCGCTGCTGTAGCAGCGGCCAGAAAAAATGATGTTTGTTTCACAGGCAGAAAGTGCCCTAAAACATGGCGGCTTGAACCCTAGTTGGTGGCGGATAAGTCACGCAAGTCAACCGGCATTCAGAGCTAAAATACAGCAGCATGTGGACCATTTTTAGCCCAAGGCAGCTCATCTCATCAGGCCTTTTTACATAGGGTCACTTGGCAGACATGGATTGACACCTGTCCTAGGGATCCCTGATACACACTGACACAGATCAGAATAGGGACTGTTCCTCCTACATCGGGTCACTTGGCAGATATGGATTGACACCTGTCCTAAGGATCCCTGATACACACCTACTTGGATGGTATAGACATTTTTAGCTGCTCCTGGCCCGAACACCTGACCCACATAGGAGCTGTAATAGACCGGATTAGGGAGTCGGACCCAGCCCTAAAGCCCAGTAAGTGCCATATAGGAGCGTGTAGAAACCTCCCAAGATAGTAGTATGGGCCCCAGAGTGTGAACAGGCCTTCCAACAGCTCAAGGCGGCTCATTAAATCACCTGTACTTTCTGCTCCTGATCCAACTAAACAGTTCTGCGTCCATACAGGCGCTTCTATGTTTGGATTGGGAGCAGTACTGTTTGAAATAGGAGCAGATGGTGGCGGGCAACCGGGGCTTATCTAAGCCGTAAACTTTTGCCCAGTGAAGTAGATACACTGCCATTGAAAAGGAGTGCATGTGGCGGTGGTGTAGATACACAAAAAGCTGCAACCTACTTGTATGGACAACCGTTTACCTTACTCACAGATCACAACAAATTTGAGACTCTTGGCGTGCAATCAATGTGCCACCAGATAGGAGTGGTGTGTTTAGTACTATTTAATCTAATGTATCGCCCAGTGTCAGTCCCTTCGGGATCCATCCCTCATTCATCTTAATAAAGGTGAGGTAATCTAGACTTTTTTGACCTAGGCGACTTCTCTTCTCAGTGACAATACCTCCTGCTGCACTGAAGGTCCTTTCTGACAGGACACTTGAAGCGGGGAAGGCCAGAAGTTCTATCGCAAATTGGGATAGCTCAGGCCACAGGTCAAGCCTGCATACCCAGTAGTCAAGGGGTTCATCGCTCCTCAGAGTGTCGATATCTGCAGTTAAGGCGAGGTAGTCTGCTACCCGTCGGTCGAGTCGCTCTCTGAGGGTGGATCCCGAAGGGCTGTGGCGATGCGTAGGACTTAAAAAGGTCCACATGTCCTCCATCAACAACACGTCTCTAAAGCGTCCTGTCCTTGCCGGCGTGGTCATGGGAGGAGGAGGATGACTTCCACCTCTCCCCCTGTTAGATTCCCGTTGTGCTGTGACATCACCCTTATACGCTGTGTAAAGCATACTTTTCAATTTATTTTGCAAATGCTGCATCCTTTCATACTTGTAATTCGGTAACATTTCCGCCACTTTCTGCTTATACCGGGTGAAACGGAAAATTATCGCAAATTTTATTAATTGTTCCAAATATCTAAATTAATACCAGATATGGTATTAACTGGTATATCTTAATAATTTAGATGTTGCTCCCAAAGTACAAATGAAATAGGATGAATCCAAAATGGAGTCTACTCACCATGTGGGCTATTCCAAAATGGAGTTAGTCACATGTGGCATGCATCACAATGGGAGTCAAATAACACTCTCCTGAAAGTATTACCCAAAAAAAAAGAATGTACACTCGAAGAGATATGATTTAACAATTAATATCCAAACTGACACACACCTTGGTAGTTGTGTAAAAGATATATAATGTTTAATATACATGCATAAAGAAACAATATATATACACATATATAAAACAGTTGTCAAATATTATATACTTTAACTAACAATGCAATACTACAACAATCTTAACTGCAATAATCTCACAATGCTAAATACACATCAACCATTGTATAATAAAAATGATTTTGCCCTACCAAAATGTTATCCAAAAAAATATGATTTACCGTTTAATCAAACCACCAAATAATAATTGATTAAACTAAAATGAAACTAAACTAAAATGAGATTAAAATAAAATAAAACTAAACTAACTAAAATAAAACTTAAAAATAAAAACAGCGATACAAATACTTATCAGTTGCCAGCTGCAAGATGTTCAATGCTCGGCCTGGAAAAAGAATGGTTCCCTTCCAGCACGTGGCTTCACCTTATAAAGGGACTGAGCATGTGACTTTCCTTACCCAATCCCTGTGTGCCATTGATTGGGGAGGAGTCAGGCATCCATCTTGGCCGCATGGCTCAGACAAAGAAAGTCTCCAAAAGGGTGCTCACTACTCCCCCTAATGGTACAATTCAAAAATGGCACTCAACATAATAAACTATATTAAGTGATTTCTAATGAATAAGACCATAATAAACCCGTGTCCATTACAATCCACCTCTTGGTCTTATCCATAGATATCATCTTCTACACCGCTGTTTCCACTTATGGCAAAGTTAAAAGTCCTAATCCCTATACCCAGCTGACTACACAAACACACACACACACACAAAAACAAAACAAAACAAAACAAAACAAAAAAAATAATACTAATATATAACCACAGCTACTGACAGTCTATGAAAACCATGTTTCCCAAACAATCCGGTATATGATTCTTCATGTAATGTTTCCTGTATGGTGGAAAATGTGGCCAAATAGTCCATGAGCAACCATATTCCTAATTTCATCTCCTCAAAACACCTAAGCAGTCTGGTACATGATTTTTCCGTAATGTTTCCAAAATAACAGTAAGTGTGACCAAATCATGGTTAACAGGATAGCTGCAGCACTCGTTGCCAACCAAGGCCAGACTCCTTTCTTGATGGATACTGATTTAGAAAGGTTACAGCTCTGATCTGCATAAAGATGTTAGAGGACCATGGGCTCAATTGTTTTAAATTGCCACCAGCCTGCTGGAAGGAAAGAAAACAGGTTTAATATCACCACATAATAACACAACCTTAGTATTACCAGGTCCATCTGAAATTATTTCTCCCTTTTGCCTTTGTTGCTCGCTAGTTCTAAGTAGCACCCAAACTTTGGACCCTACCTGAATCAGCTCAGTCTTGTCCCATGTTACTAACACTGTTTGAGGTACCCAAATGGCTATCTCCCCCAACACCGTTCCTACACACAACTCACCACCTCCACACATAGGTACACTCCACATACTTCCACATGTATTCACCACACCTGGGGTTGTCCACCCATCTTTCCCCAACCTTTCATGGAGAATTAATGTGACTTCTGTCCCTATAGGCATGGTGCCTCCAATGGATAGAGTCACAGTTTGCCATTCCCCTTCTACTGTTATTTTAACAGAGGAGAGGACTTTTACTCTAAACCTATTCTTTCCTACCAATGTAGGAATGTCACCTGTGAATGTTAGTCTCATGTTTACAGTCGGAGTATCATTTTGTCTGGTCAACCTGTCATAAGGGGAGAACTGTCCGATTGGTCGATTGTTCAATATCATTACCGCTTGGGTAATTACCCGATCCCAGCCCATTAGCGTTTTACTGGGGGATAGCTTCCTAATTTGTTCTTTTAGAAGCCCATTGCACCGCTCTATCAACCCCGCAGCTTGGGGATGATAGGGGATATGGAATATCCATTTAATCCCTGAGTCCTGTGCCCATTGTTGTACCAGCTGTCCTGTGAAGTGGGTGCCATTATCTGTTTGAATTTCAGATGGCATCCCATAAGCCATCACGATTATCTGTAGGATCTTCAATGTAGCGGCTTGATTGGCACTTCTACAAGGTAGCACCTGTAGCAATCCTGTGTAAGTGTCGACGGCAGCACAACAATAAAGGAGTCCTCCTCTTCCTTTGGGTAGCGGGCCAATGTAGTCGAGTTGCCATATCTGGCCTGCTGATGTGCCTTTCTTTAGATACCCTCGAGTCTGTGTGGTGAGTGGCCACTTCTTCACTTCGTTGCAGACTTCACACACTTGTTGAGCAGTGGTTACTAGTCCCAAGGTGATTGGCATCCCTCTTGATCGTGCCCACTCCAATGTGGCCTTGTTTCCTCTGTGCCCTCCAGTTTCATGGGCCCAGGTTGCCATCTTCAACAGCACCGGATCTACAGGGTCACTAGCTTTCACATTTCGGATCCTTGTCAGCTCATCTGCTACAGCATTGTGGTTCTCTTCATCCAAGTTAGTAGCTACGTGGGCATCAACATGTCCAATTTGGATCAGTCGGGTCTGGGCAGCCACCCAGATCTTCTCCCATAATTCTGCACCTCCCCACACTGGTCTTCCATGAATTAGCCATCCATTGGTTCTCCAGGTGGGCATCCAGGTTGTACACGCTTTGTAAACAGCCCAGCTATCAGTATAGATCTGTATTTCTTGTGAGTCAGTCTCTTCCAGCAGGGATGCTATTGCCACTAGCTCAGCATACTGACTTGATCCACCCCTGCCTTGCTCTTGCACAATCTTCCCCTGTTGAGGGCTGTAGGCTACTGCTGTCCACCTTCTTCCTTTATGGGTCAACACCGCTGACCCATCAGTGAACCAGGCATCATGCTTCTGTTCTGTTGTCAAGTTGTCATAGGGCGGAGCTGACTTGATAGGGGAAGGTTGCAGTACTGGTATTTCACAGGTGTTTGGATGTGACAAGGACTTGTATGTCACTAAGCCATTTAAGAGTTTAGAGAGTTCTTTAATTTCTCCAGCCTGTATCCCTCCTCTCTCCTGCAGGTACCACTTCCACTTCAACAATGTCTGGCTTTGGGCAACTTCAGCTTTCAGGGGTAAACAGTCATCCCGAACCCACCCAGCAATGGGTAGGTCCGTTCGGACTGACATTGGTGCTTGTAGTGTTATGGTTTCCACATGCAGCAGTGCTGTGTATGCAGCTAACAGGTTCTTTTCCAAAGGAGAGTACCGTTGTTGGGCCCCAGTTAGTTGCTTGGACCAGAACCCAATTGGTATTGCCCTCTGGCCTTTGACTTCATGTGGCTGCCATAATCCCCAAGACATTACATTTTCTGTCACCATCACATCCAGTTGGAAAGGGATTCCAGCTTTGATGGGTCCTAAACCCTGGTGTTGAAGAACAGCTTCTTTGGCTGCGTTGAATGCAGTAACTTGGTCTGTTCCCCATACAAAAGTCGATTTCTTACGTGTGACATTGTAAATTGGCCTTAACAATAGTCCAAGGTGAGGTATAAATGACCTCCAATAGCCAAGAGCACCCAGAAATCTTTGCGCTTCTTTAACAGTCTTTGGGGGTGGAGTGTTCTGTAAAGTATCCAGCACAGGTTGGGGTATCTTTCTTACAGGGCCGTCCCAGATCATTCCTAGAAACTTTACTTCCTGGGCCGGACCCTGTACTTTGTCTGGATTGAAAGCCCAGCCTCTCTTAGTCATATGGTCAATTAACAAAGGCAAAGTCTGTTCCACTTCTTCTTTGGTACCAGTGATCATGATATCATCAATGTAGTGGAACACAGGGGTTTTTAGTTTGAGCTGGCTTAAATCCCTTGCAACCAATCCATGACAAATTGTAGGGGAGTGTAAGTATCCCTGGGGCACAACTTGGAAAGTGTATTGGCGTCCTTCCCAAGTAAAAGCAAACTGATCTTGTGACTCGGGTGCAATGGGAATAGAAAAGAACGCATTAGCTAAATCGATCACTGCATGCCACTCACTGGCCTGCTTGGCTATGTCCTCAATGACACAGACGATATTGGGAACTGCAGCGCTTAATGGTGGTGCCACTTTATTGAGTCCCCTATAAACTATCGTCATGCGCCAAGAGCCATCCGGCTTCTTGACAGGAAACACAGGAGCGTTAAACGGGCTAACTGCAGGACGAACTACACCTGATGTCAATAGCTGAGAAATTGTCTCGCTGATCTCTTTCAGTCCTCCTGGTAGCCGGTACTGCTTCAGTCTTACCGGACTACTAGGAGGAGGAATTACCACAGGTGTCCAGTTGGCATTTCCCCTCACAACTTCCTTGATAGCTCTGATATAGGAAGGCTTGTGTGGAAATCCAAAGGTGAACACCCCCCACTGAGTCTCTATTCTTTGCCCTAGCAATACATCTATCCCCAAGATATTGTCAGGTAATTCTGAAATCAGTGCGTTAGTCACAAACTTTGGGCCTTTATTAATAGATAGAGTTACATTAACCTGCACTGCCTTGGTTATCCTTCCTCCCAAACCTTCTATTTTCACAATGGGACCTGCAAACTTTGAGGGGTTACCCTGTAGTACAGTCACTTCAGCTCCAGTGTCCACTAAAGCCAAAACCTTGGTGCAGTTGGCTCCCCGCCCCCACCATACAGTCAGCGGTACATGAGGGCGTCGGTCCCCAGCAGTAAGGGGAAACATACTCACTGCCTGGGAACCGCCATCATGTCAGCTGAATGATGCTGCTGCAATGTCCCATAATTCCTCTGAGGGGTAGATGGATTTAACTTTCTCTGTGGAAGGGATAACGTGTTTCTTGGGCATCTTGGGTTGGTCTGAATTAAAGTAATCTCTGATGTCAGTCTGGGTGGCGGCACCAGATGAGATATCCTCATCTAGGTTGATGAGGCTGACCTTGTCAGAACTGTGATCCCTATATGCAGCATGCACTTTTCTTTTTACGATGTTCCTCCACCTCTCAAACATAGCAGGTGTAGAATAAATAAAGGAAAAGAGACAGCGCCAGACAACCTGTAAGGCAGCAACCCAACAAGGGAATCCCCCCAAAACCCTAAAGTACAGGATAAAAGCAAAATATAAAAGGAGGGCTGCGCCAGAATAAACAGTGTCCAGTATCAATAGTTATTGAAGATAAAAAGTCCGACCTAAAAAGGTATCCTCTCTGTCATCTTTAGGTACAGGAACGCGATCTTCAGGTAATATATAAAAGATAAAAGGAGAGAACAAACGATGGTGCAGAATGTACGGTTCAAATGAAGTAAAAATTGATTAATGATAACGAACTCACAATTTCCAGAGCTTCTGTCCAGCTCTAGGGTAAAGCGCACACAGCGGTATAATCCCCGTTTATGGGATTTATGATGGGTTCGTCAGGGTATCCAAAACTCAAAGGAAACAGAAACAGCCAAATAGTGCTCTCTGTATAACTGTATATTATAAAAGAGAATAAAAAAAAAACGTACTTACAAGTACAGAGCAGACCAACTGCTCTTTGATGTCAGCGCTGGTGGAATAATCCCCACCTATGGATTTCTTTGATTGTCAGGAACTTGTAGAGATAGTATTAAAATCGGAATAGAGTGTATATAAAATATAACAATGAACTAAAACGATAAATAGCCAGGGTACATGTATGAATAAAAGTAGTTGGGACTATCAGTTAACCAAAAACTTTAATATTTATTATACAAAATTAAATTTCCATAACGCGTTTCGTCTAACAGACTTTATCAAATGGAATATTTGAACCGTACATTCTGCTCCATCGTTTGTTCTCTCCTTTTATCTTTTATATATTACCTGAAGATCGCGTTCCTGTACCTAAAGACGACAGAGAGGATACCTTTTTAGGTCGGACTTTTTATCTTCAATAACTATTGATACTGGACACTGTTTATTCTGGCGCAGCCCTCCTTTTATATTTTGCTTTTATATAGCAGGTGTAGAGATGCCATCAATCTTATCAGGAGAAACACCAGCTTTGACCAAGTCAGCCCACATCTGCTTTCGAGAAATAGCATACTTGGTGGAGTCTCTGTTTGGATTATGTTTGACTGGAGGGGCAGACATTTGTTTAACTGGGGAGATGTCCTCACTCTCGTCTTTAGGCCTGCTAGCTGCTGCTATACCCCTTTTCCCTTTTTCCTCTTGCTCAAATTCCCCTAGCTCTGCCAACACTGTTGTTATTTTATGTACTATCCCATTTGGACTTGCTCCACATAATAGTGACATCAAGGTAGCTCTTAAATGGTTAGGGGCTGTTCTAAGGAATCGGGACCGCATGCTTTGTGTAAATTCCTCTACATCTGGCCCAGCCCAATTATCCTTATCCAACCCTGCTACACATCCCATGATCCTTACACGAACTATTGCCTCTTTTAAGGTGCGCCAGGGGGTGTGAGGCTCTATGTCAACATGAGAGGGAAAAACTTTTAACAAGGCATGCCTCACAATATCCAGCAATGAGAAGTTGCCTTGTATTTCCCTCACCTGTCACAAAATCTGCCTGACTTGGGGATCATTAGTTATCTGGCCTAGACTCACTGCTTCTGTTGCATTAAGCATCACTTTGTCTGCACCAGCGTCCAACACTCTTAACAGCCACTCGCCCATGCTTTCATCACTGCCTTGCTTATACGCTTTGGCCAACTCGGACAATTCCATTTGCGTATACCCTCTCATTAATTCATTCACCTCATCATGTGCCTCTCCTGCATTACCATACTGGTCCCTATTTACTCTGCGCTTCCGCTGCTGAGTGATGACAGGACGGGCCTTACGGCGGTCCGGTACATCATCAGGTGATTCGTAGTTGTACTCCACAAAATCTTCCTCCTCATCCGAGAAAGAAATCAATTATGAACTTTCTCTGAGAGAGTCCTTTATCACAGGTCTCATCCTTCGGGATGGCTTAGGGAACTTCCCTACAGGCCTCCTATGGTTCACTCTGTCCACCCGCAACGTAGCACACTGTTCTTCCAAACAAGCATTTCGTTCATTATTAGAAAGCAGGCACTCAGTTGCAACTATTAACTTTCCCTTTACATCAATTAGTTCCTTTTCCAAGGCTTCTCTTTTTAATACCTCCTCACGTAAGGCATGCAAAATGATCCATCCTGTTTCAGCTGCAGCCTTACTCTGTTTCTTGGAATATACTTTAAGACAGTCTCAATGCCATGTTCCCTACATCACCACTGGTGGCTGGGTATACAGGAGCTGCATAATGCACAAGCTCCTTCCCTATGTCTGTCCATTTTCCCAGACATGCCCATTCAGGGACTGCCCCATACTTGGCCTTCTCTTCTTTGCTCGCACGCTTTTTTCTGAACAAGGTATGCATACTTATGTGGTTTCTAGTGGTCTGTCAAACAGCTATCTATTAGCACTCTTCCGTTTTGCACTGCAACCACTCATGCACTTACACAGACACAAATCAAGCACCTACTGGACAATGGGGTTCCCTCATTAGAGCCCTCCCACCCCAGTTCGGTTTACACAAATACCCCCTGGTCCCTATGGGTCAATACACCCTTTCCCAGGCAAGCATACATACAACAATCAATATATATGTATTTCCTAGTCACTAAAAGTCCAATACTCAGTACCCCCTAGCCTAAATTCCCCACCCGCTACTGTAACTAAGTTTACAGCCCACGTTATGGCAGTTCACCCGCTAGGCAGATGTGCTCAATAGCCCCTAGTTTAAGTTCCCCACCCGCTACTGTAACTACGTTTACAGCCCGCGTTATGGCAGTTCACTCGCTAGGCATATACACAATACACCCACGTATTACTTATTTTATATTTCCTGGTCTCTCAGGGATATACAATAGCTAATCCCCTTCTCAGAGCAATATAAAACTGACACAAAAGGCTACTTTTAAGCAATACAGGATTTCAAATGGACTTATGAGTAATACATAAAAGTTTCAAGTGCAATATAATCATTACAAAACAAAACCATTTAGTACACAAGCCACTTGCAGCAATGACAACACTAAAACACACCACTCTTGTCGCAGTGTGGTATTGTCACCCAAACATAACTTGGGAGGCTTGTAAACTAAACCCTGATAAGTTTTAACAAAAAATAACTTTCTGGAAAAAATAAAATTAAAAAAATAAATAAATAAAAATAAAATAAATAAAAATCACAAAATTGTGGAAATATGCAGTTTGGCTATTAACTATTATTATTAATAACTCCTGGAATGTCCTGCCGACTACGCCAGATGAAACGGAAAATTATCGCAAATTTTATTAATTGTTCCAAATATCTAAATTAATACCAGATATGGTATTAACTGGTATATCTTAATAATTTAGATGTTGCTCCCAAAGTACAAATGAAATAGGATGAATCCAAAATGGAGTCTACTCACCATGTGGGCTATTCCAAAATGGAGTTAGTCACATGTGGCATGCATCACAATGGGAGTCAAATAACACTCTCCTGAAAGTATTACCCAAAAAAAAAGAATGTACACTCGAAGAGATATGATTTAACAATTAATATCCAAACTGACACACACCTTGGTAGTTGTGTAAAAGATATATAATGTTTAATATACATGCATAAAGAAACAATATATATATATATATACACATATATAAAACAGTTGTCAAATATTATATACTTTAACTAACAATGCAATACTACAACAATCTTAACTGCAATAATCTCACAATGCTAAATACACATCAACCATTGTATAATAAAAATGATTTTGCCCTACCAAAATGTTATCCAAAAAAATATGATTTACCGTTTAATCAAACCACCAAATAATAATTGATTAAACTAAAATGAAACTAAACTAAAATGAGATTAAAATAAAATAAAACTAAACTAACTAAAATAAAACTTAAAAATAAAAACAGCGATACAAATACTTATCAGTTGCCAGCTGCAAGATGTTCAATGCTCGGCCTGGAAAAAGAATGGTTCCCTTCCAGCACGTGGCTTCACCTTATAAAGGGACTGAGCATGTGACTTTCCTTACCCAATCCCTGTGTGCCATTGAATGGGGAGGAGTCAGGCATCCATCTTGGCCGCATGGCTCAGACAAAGAAAGTCTCCAAAAGGGTGCTCACTACTCCCCCTAATGGTACAATTCAAAAATGGCACTCAACATAATAAACTATATTAAGTGATTTCTAATGAATAAGACCATAATAAACCCGTGTCCATTACACCGGGGGTCTAGTATCGTGGACACCCAGTACAGGTTGTTCTCCTTCAGCCTTTTTATACGAGGGTCCCTCAACAGGCACGACAGCATGAAAGACCCCATTTGCACAAGGTTGGATGCCGAGCTACTCATTTCCCCTTCCTCCTCCTCACTGATGTCAATGAAGGTATTTTCTTCCCCCCAGCCACGTACAACACCACAGGTACCAGATAGGTGACAACGAGCACCCTGGGATGCCTGTTGTGGTTGGTCTTGCTCCTCCTCTTTCTCCTCCTCAAAGCCACATTCCTCCTCTGACTCCTCTTCCTCACAATCCTCTTCCAGCGTTGCCGCAGGTCCAGCAAGCCATGCTGATAAGGCTGTTTCTGGAGGTGATGGTGACCACAACTCTTCCTCTTCCTCTTCACGCTCATCTACGGCCTGATCCAGCACTCTTCGCAGGGCATGCTCCAGGAAGAAAACAAATGGTATGATGTCGCTGATGGTGCCTTCGGTGCGACTGACTAAGTTTGTCACCTCCTCAAAAGGACGCATGAGCCTACAGGCATTGCGCATGAGCGTCCAGTAACGTGGCAAAAAAATTCCCAGCTCCCCAGAGGCTGTCCTAGCACCCCGGTCATACAAATATTCATTAACGGCTTTTTCTTGTTGAGCAGGCGGTCGAACATTAGGAGTGTTGAATTCCAACGTGTCGGGCTGTCGCAAATCAAGCGCCTCACTGGCATGTTGTTTCGCCGCTGGATATCGGCAAAGTGAGCCATGGCTGTGTAGGAACGCCTGAAATGGCCACACACCTTCCTGGCCTGCTTCAGGACGTCCTGTAAGCCTATGTACTTATGCACAAAGCGTTGTACGATCAGATTACACACATGTGCCATGCACGGCACATGTGACAACTTGCCCAACTTCAATGCCGCTAACAAATTTGTTACATTGTCACAAACCACTTTGCCGATATCCAGTCGCTGCGGAGTAAGCCACTTTTCCACCTGTGCATTCAGGGCGGACAGGAGTGCTTGTCCCGTGTGACTCTCTGCTTTCAAGCAAGTCAAACCCAAGACGGCGTGACACTGCCGTATCCGGGATGTGGAATAGTACCTGGGGAGCTGGGGGTGTGCCGCTGATGTGGAGCAAGACGCAGCAGCAGAAGAGGACTCAGCCGAGGAGGTTATGGAAGAGGATGGAGTAGGAGGAGTAGAGGAGGTGGCAGCAGGACTGCCTGCAAGTCGTGGCGGTGTCACCAACTCCTCTGCAGAGCCATGCATTCCATGCTTGCAGCAGTCAGCAGGTTTACCCAATGCGAGTGGTGATATACCTGCTCTGACCATGCTTTGCAGACCAGGTATCAGTGGTCAGATGGACCCTTGCCCCAACACTGTGTGCCAGAGATGCTATTACTTCCCTTTTTGCACAATTGAGTACAGGTTGGGGATTGCCTTTGTGAAAAGAAATTTCGCCGGTACCTTCCACCGCGGTGTCCCAATAGCTACAAATTTTTGAACGCCAGACTCCACCAGCTTGTGCTGGTGGTGCTGGCGGCTAATAGTTTCGATGCTTTCAGCCAGTCGTAGGACGCGCTTCGGGCAAGGGGTGACTTTCTGACATTGTCTCTTACGCCAAACATGTCCTGACAGACACATGACTGTGCTGGCAGATGAGCGTGAACTGCTCAAGGCCGGAGGCGGAGTGGCGGATGGTTGAGAGGGGACAAGGAGGACAGCAGTGGTTGACGTGGCTGAAGATGCTGGACCAGGAGGAGGATGGCGGCTTAGAGTAGGCGAGCTGCTTCTACTTATGTGTTGATCCCATAGGCGTTTGTGATGTGAGATCATGTGCCTACGCAAAGCAGTTGTACCTAGGTGGGTGTTGGACTTCCTACGACTCAGTTTCTTTTGGCACAGGTTGCAAATGGCATCGCTGCTGTCAGAGGCAGACACAAAAAAATTCCACACTGCTGAGCTCTGCAATGACGGCATTCTGGTGGTGGACACAGCATGCGTTGATTGGCGTGCTGTCGGGCTGACCCCGGGTGCCGATGCATACTGTCTGACTGTGCCACTAGCTCCTTGCGATGACCTCCCCCTGCTTCCAACTCGTCTCCTCCTCCTCCTCCTCTGTCTCCCCATCTGAACTTTCGCCTTGTTCTTCTTGCCGAGCGGGCACCCACGTGACATCCATGGACGCATCGTCATCCTCAACCGCTTCACTTGTATCTGACAACTCAGCAAAGGAAGCAGCAGTGGGTACAACATCATCATCATCATCACACCGTACGTCCATGTGTATAATGCTGCCTGCCTGAGACATATCCCTGTTATCTACATCCTCTGGCAATGATGGTTGCGCATCACTCATTTCTTCAAACGGATGTGTGAATAACTCCTCTGACATACCAACTGAAGCGGCTGTGGTGCTAGTTTTGGTGGTG